CTACTGGTTGAACTTACCAGTAAAGGGACAAAGGACCTGGGGCTGTAGATCCCCTACCCCAGAATCTTCGGGGTAGGAAGTGGGAGAGGAGGTGTCTTCAGAATACAGATACCTGGGCCCTACCCCCAGTCTTGTTCAAGAGGCCTGGGGTGGCTCAGAAGTCTGCATTTTCAACAAGCTCCCAGGTTGTTCTGATGCACGTTAAAATTTTTAAATCACTGGTAGAGGGCAAAGAGTATCAGAGCATCAGATTTCCCAAGTTTGAAGCCCAGCTCCACTTGTCACAAGCCGGTTGACCTGAAATAATTCACTTGCTCCCTTAGACCTTCAGTTTCCTTATCTTCACAATGGGAGCAATAAAAAATATTAAGAGTTTGAGCTCTGAGCAACAGCGGTTCGATGCCTGGCCCGAGCTGAGCTGCCGCTAAGCTGCCAATAGGTAGCAGGATGGCTCAGCTAAAAAAACAAACAAACAAACAAAAAAACTCCTGCTAAAGTCACTGGTTTGCCAAAAAATTACATCAGATAATGGATGTTCTGATAGGCTGGAAAATGGTCCCCCAAAAGATGTCCACATGCCAATCCCTGAGACCTGTGAGTGTCACTTTGTATGAAAACAGGGTGTCTGCAGATGTGACCAAGTTAAAGATCATGAGATGGGGAGGGTATCCTGGGTTATCCAGATGGGCCCTAAAAGCAATCACACAGGCGTTATAAGAGAGAGGCAGAGGGAGACTGGACACAGAGGAGACGATGTGAAAGTGAAAGCAGAGATGGGAGTGATGCAGTCCCCGGAAACTAATACTATGTGTAAGCTGCAAGGACCATAGAAATATTCAGTGTTGTTTTTACTTAGAATATAGGTGTTAACTGCTTCTTTCCAGTATTGCTGCCGCCCACACCTGGTGTTCAAGATGGGTGCCTCCTCCCAACCCAAACCCCTCTGTCTATGAATATTTTAAAGGCTTCCAACAGGACAAAGTGTGAGTTAACACAATGCAAACGAGCGTCACTAGAACGTATTTGAATTCTGCTTTTCTGATCGAGTGGGATGGGAAGGCACTGTGAGTGGAGTGGCGGATGTGTGAAGCATGGAGCGCTGTTTGTTAAGTGGTGTCTTGGACGTATTCGTACTTTGCCCCACAAACACTTGTGACTTGTGCTGAATCCCGTAGGAGCCATAAAAAGTGTAAGCGTCTTAGAAATAAAACCTTACTAAGAATAAGTCTGGAATTCACACAGTTTCTGTTACTGTAGGAGCTCAGGGAGATTTTCTTGATTTTCTCTACTTTATTCGCGGTCATAGGAGGGGATATATGCATTTTAAAGAGAAAAAGAAAACAACTGAAGCACGTGTTGAGCCGTTTCTTCCTGGTCTTGCAGCGATGGCTTCTGGGCTCCCGTTCTTGCCCCGCTGTCTTGCCCCTCGGTGCTGTGCTCCATCCCACCCTCCTGCACTAAGTGACCCTCAGTCCCTGGGTGGTGCTTTGGGGGCTTGGCCATCACCTTCCAACGCCCCTGCTCCCTGCCCGTCCCCACTCCCACCCTGGGGCACCAGTCTGTTGAGGGGGTGGCTGTAACTCGCTTCCTTCTTTCTAGACTTGAGATGCGTTGCCTTCATGGTCCACAGTGCCCATCTGGGCCCCTCTCTGGGATTGCCTGTCTGGGCCTGTGTTGGTGGCGTGGAAAGGACAAGGGTCACACTGCCCCCAAGCCTAGGCCTGGCGCTGAGGAAGCAGACCACAAATGACCACTGTTACCAGGCTCACCACAGTGCTGTTTCCTGAGTAGCCCTCAGAGCCAGGCACCGCTGGTCACGCGGCTCACGTCCCCTCATTTAACCCTGGCGACCACCCCGTGGCATCAGTCCTCATGTCCCCGTTTTACAAATGAGGAAACAGTGGCTCAGGAGTTACGTGAGTGGTCCATAGCCACGCAGATGACAAGATGCAGAGCGAGGGGACAGATGGGTGCCTGACTGTAGGCCCAGCAGATAAAGCAGGGGCACAGTCTACTTAAATACAAAAATCATTATGTCGGGCGGCCGGGCGGCTCGGGTGGTTGGAGTGGGGGTTCATGGCACCAGGGTTGCCGGTTCCATTCCCGCATGGGCCGGTGAGCTGCGCCCTCCATTTAAATAATAAAATAAAATAAAACCATTATGTCGAAATCAAAATTTGAGAAAGAGGCTCAAAATGAAGTTCTGAGAAGAGTACAGCACAGTAACTATCCAGGGATGCAGAGAGTCACAGAAGAAAAGAACAGGGCATTTTCCAGCGTGGTTAGCAGCTGTGGCTGGCCCAGTTGGAACAGATTTAGACAAAACCACTGGCCCAGCCTAGAAAAAGGCCACCCATGGTTTTAGGAGAGGAATCCCCATGCATGTTTTCTACCCTGTGTTACTTTGGTGGCTGTCACTGGATTTTCCATTTTTAAATATTGGTTGTAATCTCAGTTCTAACCTTGCAGCCAAGAGTTAGTAGTGGAAATATTTCGCAGCGTGTGCAGTGCGGATCACAGCTGGCCAGAACTGACACTGGGCATGGACGCGCGTGCAGGCCATGACACCTGACCTGCTCCTGGCTCCAGGGCACTTTGAGGAAGAGGAAAGTCAAAGTGGAAAGTGAACGGGGACTTGATGTCGCATTCCATAGAGAGATATCAGGAATCAGAGAAGCATCAGGGTGGGGGATGGGGCTGGAGAGGAGAGACAGACCCGGTTGCCTGCCGGTGATTCTGCGTTGTCTCTCACATGTGAGTCTCAGCCCATCCACCAGCCGTCTCGTGGGATCTTGCTAAAAGGTAAATACCTGAGCCTCATCCACGACGGACACAGCGTGTCTGGGCTGGTGGCAGGAATCTGCGTGGTTCCAAGCCCCCTTGACTCTGTTGTCCCGTAGTGTTTGGAAACCAGCGCCCTCACTCCTCCAGCCCCCCCAAAAAGGCCAGACTAAGGTCACTCCTGGCTGCTTCTTCATCCTCTGCTTGTTCTTCCACCACCACTTGACAGCATCCACCACCAGTCGTGTAAGCAGCTCTCCTGGGTCGTTTGGCATGAGGTGCTAGAGGGAGCAGGAAGCAGGAATATCACCCCCCACACACACACCCAGCAGGTGTGCAGGGCGGAGCGCCTGCTGTGGAGGGTTACTCCTGCAGGACCCTAGGCCAGTTACTTAATGTTTGTGGGTCTCAGTCTCTCCGTAAAATGAGAATAATGATGGCTCTCTAACTTAGAGTCATTTTAGGAAATAAAAGCAGTGATGTATGTAAAATGCATAGGGTAATACCTGATCTATGTAAGTCTCAAAACTTCTGCTGTTATTAGCCCATAAACTCTCAAACCAGTGAACAGGAAGTTGGGTCACTCATTCTCCTGACATACATTTGAGTCCATGCTGTCACTGAACATTAGGGACAAAGCCTTGGTTTGACTGTTTCTCCCTCTTTATCACTAAGAGAAGTTAAATGCCCCACTCAGAGGTCACAACGCCAGTTAGAGGGAGATCTGTAGTTAGAACCCCCTGTAGCTGCATGTCCTATTTGAGTGAGTTCAATCACCAATAGCCAGTGATTTAATCAGTAATGCCTATGTAATGAAGCCTCCATAAAAACCCAAAAGGACGGGCTTCGGAGAGCGTCTGGGTTGCAGGGAGCGTGCAGGGAGCATGGTGCTTGGAGAGGGCGTGGGTACTCCGGGCTCCTTCCACTTACCTTGCCCTCCACATCTCTTCCATCTGTCTGTTCCTGAGCTCTATCCTTTTATAATAAACTGGCAATCTAGTAACTAAAATGTTTCTCTGAGTTCTGTGAGTTGCTCTAGCAAATTAAATGAACCCAAGAAGGGAATCCTAGAAGCTTATCATCTACAGCTGGTCAGTCAGAAGTACAGGTGACAACCAGAACTTGTGATTGTACTCTTGGGGGCGGGGGAGAGGGGCAGCCTTGTGAAGCTGAACACTTGACCTGTGGGATCTGATGATCTGATGCTCTCTCTGGGTAAATAGTGTCAGAATTGAGTTGAATTGTAAGACACCCAGCTGTTGTCTGGGGCATTGCTTGTTGGTGCTTGAAAACCTCACATACACACACACACACACACACACACACACACACACACACACACACACACACACACACACAAAGGAATTGGTACTAGAATCATCTCAATCGTATATCCTTTTTGAACAAATGTTTGTAAAAATTAAATAATACAAGGCAGAATAACAGAGAATACATTTGAATTCTAATCTTTTTAGAGTTGTTTACAGTACTGAATTTATAACAAATAAAATAACCTATAAGAATTCTATTTAATGTTTTAGTAATTTAACTCCACTTAGTCTGTGATTCTTGCTTCTCTGTGGGACTCGGTGAAAATTCAGTCCCTATTTGCAATTGCAAATGTGCAGCACAGTGACGACAGAAGGAATCCAGCAGCTGAGAATGCTGAGCAAGACTTACGGAAATGAAACGGCAAGCTTAAAGATGTACTCAAATTTTTCACAATACAATGTAACGACACTTCTTAATCAAATCTCAGGTTTGTTCCTGTTTCCCAGAATGTACGCTAGGGTGGTGCTATGCGCTTTGATGATGGCTTTTGCTCAGCTTTAGTGTTACTCCTCACAGCCTCTCTCTCAGCCTCTGTTTGTGGTGCAGCTCTGGATATAAAAGGGAGCGGGCGGCTCAGTGAGCCCCGTTTATTTTCTCTTCTCTTCCACCCTGTGCTCACCCCAGCAGGGAAGGACTGAGAAGGGCCACGGGTGCCAGTCTTGTTGTGTAGACAGCAACGGTGAGCAGGATTTGGAACTCAGATATCTCGAGTGTGCCCTGGGAGACGGACCAGCGCCGGGTCCTGGGATGCATGGTTCCTGGGGTGTGGTTTATTCCATGGTTTTACTATGGCAGGGAGCCTGAGGACATCAAGTCCCAGCACCCAAAGTTGAGTAGCACAGTGGGTCACCTCTCACGTGCATTTCTCTCTCTCTCCTCCCGGGTAGTTTGTGAAGTTTGCCAACATCGAGGAGGACACCCCATCCTATCATCGGAGCTATGACTTCTTTGTGTCTCGCTTCAGTGAAATGTGCCACTCCAGCCACGACGACTTGGAAATCAAGACCAAGTGAGTAGGGGAAGACGAGGGGCCTTGCACAGCTAGTGACAGAAGCATCGATGGGTCTTAAAGAGTTGCCAGCCCCAAGTGTGTCCCTGATCCCGTTGGAGTTTTCCTCTGCTCTGACGTTGCTCTGAAAGAGCACCCGGGAGAACTTAGGTGGGCAAGTGGGTGGTGCTGGGCTCCCAGCACCGGGTTTCCTAAAGGAACAGCCTCTGGGGCAGAAAACGGGGTGGGATGTAAGGTCACAGACCTGTGAGCCCAATCTGAGAGTCAATGACAGCACACATACACACACACACACACACACACACACACACACACACACGTGCGTACACCCATGCCCCTTTGTTCAGAAGTACATGTACTTATATACCCAGAAACACTCCCACTCACCATTATCCATCCAAATATGCACCCACCAATAATCAGCGAAGTCCTCACATTGGCTGATCCCCACTGCCTCCTGACTTCATCTCCTCCACTCTCCCTAACTCATTCCCCTCCAGCCATGCAGGCCTCCTTGCTGCCTGCAAACACACCAGAAGCATTGCTGCCACAGGGCTTTTGCACAGCCTGCTCATGTGCCTGGAATGCTTCCTCCATGGGTCTGTATAGTGCACTCCTTCAGCCCCTTCAAACCTTTGCTCAAAGGTCCCCTTGTCAGCGACACCTTCCCCTGAATATCCCCATACACCCACTCCCGTTTTCCCTCAGCCTGTTCTGGGTTTTTTTGTGTTTTTTTTTTACCCATGGCACTCATCCCCTTCAAACATGTTTCATAATTTACTTATTATGTTTTTTATTCATGGCCTTCTTCTCCCCACTGAAATGTGAGCTCTGTGAGGGCAGGAATCACTATTTTATTTACTGGTGCATTCCAAGTGCTAAAGCAGCACCCGGAGAACAGTGGGCACTCAGTAAATATTTGTTGAGTAAGTGAATAAGTAGATGCTTTTCAGATAAATATCTTGAATTACAGAGTACACTTTTCCATACACATAGTCAAACTTATGAACATACTTAACTTACAGAAGTACACTCATCGACGTAGAAATAAAACCCCTCCTTGAAATCACAAGCAAATGTACATGGATATGTGCTGACAGGTAGATGAAGCGGGTGTCAGGCTGATGCAGCTGTAAGTTGGTGTTTTATGGAAGCATTGTCCTTGGAACTACAAGGTGCAAAAGGGTGAGAAGCAGGTCCCTGCCTACAACGTGTGTTTTCAACCTGGGGAGCTATATGAAACTGGAGAATGCGTTCAAAAGAAGGAGAAGAAGGGAGAAGGACTAAGCTGTCCATACCAACCAAAGCTACCGGAGCAGTCAGAGAAGAAGGGGACTGTGGGGCTGGAGTTGTCATGTGGCCAGTATGCTCACAGTAAACCAGTTCTCCATTGGTTCACCTCTGAGCCCAGCTGATGCCTCAGCACCTCACAGAGCCCACAGTGTCACGTTTTGTGCAACAGCAGGGTCAAGGAGCCCAGTGTGCCCCTAACAACAGCTCTTGCCACAGTTGACAATCTGAGTTGGAGAAACAGGAAGTGAGTCCCTCCAACCCCCAGGTTGCCTGTTCTCAAAGCTTCCACGCCGATGGGATGACTCCGGAGCAGGTCCCCATGCAACTGGTCAGCAGTGCCCGCAGTCTCCCACTCCCGGACCTAGTCATGGGCTCCCTGGGCTGTGCTACCACAGTGCATATGATGAAGCCAGTGGGGGCCACAGGAGGGAGGAGCCCCTTGGCCTCTCCCCAGTGTTGGCTCCTCCAGTAACCACCTCACTCTAGAATGGCTATGACAAGGCAGAGGGGCCTGGAGCAGATGGGGCATGTCCAGAAGAATGTGTTGGGGCAGGTGCAGGACTGTAACCAGGTAGAGCTGTAACAGGTAGTGACCATTCAGGAAGTGCCAAGCTTTCAGAAGGGGGGCAGATGGGATGCTCTTTGTGCCCCTACCCTCTCTCTCCCTCTCTCCCTCCCTCCCTCCCTCTCTCCCACACAGAATCACACTCGTGCACACAATCATATACATAATCACACGCACTCTTACATTCAAGTACACAATCACACACACACACACACACATCCATGCAATCTTGTGCGCATGCACGCACGCGTGCACACACACACACACACACACACACACGCTCACTCCACACTGTTTGGTGGAGAGGCACGGAAGCAGACATGGTCAGCACTGCCTTCTGACAGCGTCAGGAGTGTACTGAACATCGGGAGAAGGGTTGCTGAGGTTGGCTCCTGGAAACTGGGCAGTGCGATTAGCACCCACAGGCTGGCACTTGCCTTCCATGAAAGGAAGGCCTGCGGGGTGAGAAGAGTTCCTGGCATCAGTCTTCTTCTTCCCTCTTGTCTCGTTTCCAAAACCTTCCTGCACCCCTTTTTCCCTAAGCTCTCTCCCTGTTGTTCATTCACAGCCCAGAGAGCCCAGAGCCCCTTTCCAAGAAGTACCCTTCAGTCCCATAAACAGCTGTATGTGTGCACGCGCACACACGGTTCCCTGGCGTTCAGAGACATCCCAGGTCCCTTGCACGTGGGCAGGCCTCCACTGAATCCATTAGAAGGAGCAGTAAGAGACTGCCTCTCCCCCAGGCCTGATTCTTCAGAATGT